TAACTTCATTTCTGGACATTTATGGTTTGATTTCTTTGTATGTATGGATCACTTGGGTTGTTATGACATCTGGTGAAAATTTCATGTCATTAGCACCTCTAGTAATAAATTTACTGAGAAAAATGGTGACATGTTCAATAATTATTTTACCCGCTGTAAGTGTTGACTAAACTCACCTTGGGAGGTAACCTCAGCAAGAGTCCAGATGGTCATTAGGCCTGTGAACACAACATATTCTGGAGTATTTTCAGGCAGCATAGCTTCTGCTGCCACATCCAATACGTCCCATTCCTCAATGATGCTAAATATATTTTAAATATAGGACTTTGAAAACTAGTTTTCTTTAACCTTAAGCATTATTGTACATTTCTCAGAACAGGTGAACACTGGTTCCATTTGCAGCTGAAAATATGGAGCTCAGTGTTTGAACGGAAACAAAAACAATCTCAGGTCTGGTTTTATGTCTGTCTTAAACATGTCTCTTATGAAGATGAGTCCTCACTCAGTGAGACTGCCTGTTTTAAACTGATCAAAGTTTGGAAACATTTTTTAAATGGGAATATTTTAACATTTCTAACAAACTGACTTTTAATCTTTCACATCTTTCACAATACTAATCCCACGAAAGCAATCCCTATCAGGACATGTAGGGAAAACACTGATCACCCTGACACAGAGCAACTTCTAGCAGTTTATCTGCATCACTTCGGGCAAAAAAAGCACTGATGTGGGTATATTTAATGTGGAACCTGTGCAGAGCATCTTGAAACCAGGGAGACTCTCCATTTTTTATGCACAACACAGTCTGAAAAATGAACAAATTCAGGGGATCAAAAGTACAATAACGGGGTTCGTAAAAATGGGATTTTAGTCCTATTTCACCATAGAAATCAGCAATTTTTCTGGTGCCCAAAGTAGGCTCATCAGATTATTGTATGGGTCAAGATTTGAACCCATAAATAAGTTTATTGTTCTTACTAATTTTGACACTCTGAACCTATATGTAATGCTAAATGCTATGTGCCAGAACACAAGTACTTTCCTTGTATTGATATAGATCAGGGGTGGCCAAACATTTTCCCTGAGAGGGCCAAAATTTAAAATCAATCTGAGGGCCACGGGCCAAATGCAGTAATATAATACATGAAATGCAAATACTTCTTTAGTAAAGTTGTTTTATTTTTTTGAATAAGCAAGCAGCCAGTGAATTTGCCCACATTCTTTTGTTTTTTCAGCATTTTGTAGTTACTTGTATTTTATGTTTAATCTTAAAATAATTCAAAGTTAAAGTGAGTACCATGAGTTAAGACTATCTGACTATCTGCTCCTTGTGCGTATAGTTGGACCAATGGTTGAAAAGTGGAAATATAGTATTTCTACATAGGACATAAGATAACAGATTAACCAGGACAACTGCTGGTGGGCCAAATCAAATGGCTTGGTGGGCCAAATTTGGCCCGTGGGCCGCACTCCAAAGAATCATTGGGGTACAGTTGGATTAATAATCCAACAAAAACCAAAGCAAAAACTGACACTATTAGGAGCACAATATTTTTCTGACTAATAAACTACAGTGAGTCTTTTGCTTCTGACTTTAGCCGCAGAGTAGCTTTGCTGACAGACTTGATTTCGACTAAGAACTAGACCAAGACTGTGTTTTTGAGACTGAAAGAATGACGTGATTGCACATAATGTCTAAAAAGACTAGATACAAAACCCAGAAATTCAGTTATTCACAGATGGCCACAGTCATATAGCTGATGATGACTCTCTGGCGACCTCTTGTCTGTTGTTGCAGAACATGGTAAGTTTGTTATGAAGGAAGAATTACTTCTGCAATCTCTTGTGAAAACGTGTGAAATCTGTTGTTTACACAATCCCAACAATCTGAGCTAATACCGGCTGGTTGGAGTGAGTATAAAGTGGCCTTTGACCTGGTTTATTAAAACGTGACTGCTCAACTTGACTGTGACAGAATGCAACTTGGTAAACTGGGGCTTTGAAAATGTGCCTGAGGTTAACAACAGGTCTGTTTTTAAAAGGTCACACACTGCAGAAAAGACATACCAGTTCACTTTCATTAAGGGGGTGACTGCTAGGGTTCTATTGTAAACCAGACCAGAGCTCTCACAGGTCAGCAAAAACCAACATGTGCATGACTGATATTATTCTCTGCCTTTGGGTGTGGCTACCAGTATGACAGGTAGGGTAGAAACCCACTAAGGGGACTTCAGGCTTAACCCCTGTCCTGAAAACACATGTATTAAAGGGGCAATATTATGTTTCTCAGGCATATATTTAAATACTATACCATAATAAAGTATCTACGTCACCTTTAGCTGTTATTAAAATGCTGTTTTTATGTTTAAATAGAAAATAAACTTATCTTCTCATCACTTCCTCTTCTGAACGCCTTGAAATTGGCCTCTGTCTCTTTAAGAACCACCTTCCGCTTCTGTCCCACCCATATCAGCGTGCGCGGTGGGGGGGGGTCACGCATGCGCTGTGATGCAGTTTACTTGGCATCTGAAAATAAATTTCCTCAAAGGTATTTTGAATCTGAAAAGAGCTTCACTGAGTGAGAAGTAGTGGAGCTCAGCAGACAGTTTCAGTTTCAATTTCACTTGTTTGCTTTGTTACTGCCGAGAGCCTGCAGGAGTCATGGGCGGGGTGTGTGTGTGTGTGTGTGTGTGGGNTTGCATGTGCGCTATGATGCAGTTTACTTGGCATCTGAAAGAAAATACATTTCCTCAAAGGTATTTTGAATCTGAAAAGAGCTTCACTGAGTGAGAAGTAGTGTTAAGAGCAGCCGACAGTTTCACTTTCAGTTTCAGTTTCACTCGTTGTTTGCTTTGCTACTGCCGAGAGCCTGCACGAGTCATGGGCGGGGTGTGTGTGGTGGGGAGGTGTGCTTCGTGATGAGGAAGCTCAGCTTGGAGACGCAGCCCAGAGGCGTTTCTGGTCCCAAAAGGCGTTTCTGGTCCCCACCTGTCGTTTTGCTCCTCAGCATGGCTTCCTAAAAACGCTGCAGGATTTCTCAAACATGCATGAATGAGTCAGAGCAAGGCTTTGAGCATGTTTTTTATGAGAGTATAACATTATAACATGATATAAAACTCAAAAAAGTTGATTTTACATGATATTGCCCCTTTAATGATATCACTTTAACTCCATGGTGTTGACTTTTAAGTTTACGTTTCAGATGTATAACAGAGATTTGTGTTACTGGCTGGGACCTGGTGGAGAAAATTTATATTAATGAGGTGAACACTAATATTATTAATCCAACTGCACCCCAATGATTCATAGGGCTCAGGAGCAGGAGCTTTTAACAGGTTCACAGAGGTTAACTAGTACTGTTTATGTAAAAGATGCCACTGTGTGTGCAAGCAAGACCAGTTTTATTTACTATCCTGTTTTATCCCTTGTCTGGAGCATTTAGTTTTTCTGTATGTTTAAGTTGTATGTTACTGAAAACCCTTCAGCCAGCAGTAAATATTTAAATTTGTTTTTTCTGTCTCCCAAATTATCTCTGTCAGCAGTGTTCACCTTTACAAATGGTCCCATTTCTGTTTATCTGGGCAAGAAAATAAATATAAAAAAATTATCTTCAAGGACTCTTAACAAATTGAAGTATTTAAAGAATTTTTTTAATTGAAATGAAATCGTTACCCAAAGAATTGGAAACAAACTGAGTTGGGAGGCTGTTAACACCCAGCCCTAAAAAAAACAACCACAAACTCTTTGTTTTACATCACTTATCCCAAAAAAATCCTTTAACCAATTTCCATCATTTAAAGTCTGAATGAAACCATATTTCTGAGGAGTTCCAATTGCGTATAAATCTCTCTCCATCTAGTCTGTAATAAAACTGCTGCTCAACGTACTGAACACATCCACGAAAGAAAATGTTTTTATCTTGGTAAATTCTCCCAAAACAGTTTATTTTGTTTAATTCATTGATACAGTTTAGGTTCTGTTTCTTTTTTCTACACAGATGTGTGTATAAGTCCACATTACAAAGCATTTAAAAAATCTCAGTTTCCCCTGATTAAAACGGTTCTTTGTATTACTTGTCCAAAATAAGAGCAAATAGAGAAAAACATTAATTAAAGCAGAACTCAAATATGTGATGTGAACCACAGAGTGGAGGGTCCAGAGGGGGGGGTCTACAGAAAACTAATCCACCCTTAAAAGGATCCCTGATTCGTTGTAACATTAGACTTTATTTGATAAACATTTACTTAAACTGTAAAATAAAGACTGTAAAAATACTGTAGGATGTTTAGTTTTTATAATTTTTAAAATATTTTAACACGGATGGAGCCATTTTATTTAGGTAGAAATGGCTCAGCCTGTAACTGAAAAAATAGATGGAGGACAACAGAGCTGCTTCATGGAAGAAAAACCTCAGTTTAGCCTGTTAGCTTTAGCGCCGATGCTATATTGCCTTAAATGTATTAGCTCAGCGTGACAAACAAGCTAAACTGAGGTCCTCCATCCATATTTTCAGTTACAACTGAGTCATTTTTGTGTTCCCCTCTCTGTCATGTGGATGGAGGACCTCAGTGACGAGAGGAGAATGTGTAGCGCTGAGCTAATACATATATACTGTATATGGTGATAGCGTCTGGGCTAACGCTAAAGCTAACAGGCTAAACTGAGGTCCTCCATCTATATTTTCAGTTACAGACTGAGTCATTTCTACCTTCTCCTCTCTGTCAACGCTCTCTGGTTTCATTTAAAAGAGTCGATCATCAGATATTGTCCAAGATTAAYCTTCAGGGTGGATATAGCTCGCACCGAGGACCTATCCACGTCATCATTCACCCAGAATGCTTTGCGTGTAAATAAAATGGCTCAGTCCATGTAATATATTTTTAAACTTTTAGTTTAAAAATAATAAAAACTAAACAGCCTACAGTATTTTTACAGTCTTTATTTTACAGTTAAAATATGTTTATCAATAAAGTCTAATGTTACAACTAATCGTGGATCCCTTTAAAACATGTGAACCCTTAACTGTTCCAAAGATATAAACTGTTATCAGAAATATAATAAGATGGTTGACAAGGCACTTATTAAATGAATTATTTGTACACCTCAACAAGCAACGTCTGGCATCACAAGTTTCTTTTTTGCCAGGAAAAAGCTAAAAAGTTTGAGATTTCAGAGAAACACTCAAAGTACATCTACCAAGTCTGATCCCTTAGTTTGTTTTTAAAGAAACTGTTTTTAAAAGGTTGAAGTCTTGTTTTTATCATTGCAGTTTTATTTAGTTTTATTTTAAAAATGTAATGATTTTGCTAATAAAAAATGTAAAAACTGGCTTTAAAATCATGGTACTGCCTCCATCGTGGAAGATCGAAAATATTCACAGAGAGGGAGAGTCAGAGCTGATACTTCCTGTGGTCTACGGAGCAAAACCTAAACCACCAGCCTGTCCTCAGACCAATACAGTCAGAAACATGTTTGTTCAGGACATTTAATCATTTTTTCTTTTTCATCCTCAAAACAAGTTGGAAAATATAAAAATGTTTAAATCTGGGAAATGGAATCCGTCAGAAAACAATCCTGACCAAACCTGGAGTGAAAAAACTTATACGTGTTCAAGTTTCTGTCAAACTTGAACCGATTTCACAGAAAGACTTGGTGACATCAGCGTTCAGACTATCAAACAGGTGATCCATTTCCAGGTTTGAAAAGCCAAATAAATGTAAAATATCTAAAACATCATGTGGTAGAACTGTAACAAGGGATTTATAAAAAGATAAAAAAATAAAAAGACTAAAGTACTTGGTGGTGCCACTGGAACAAAACCAATCAATCATTTCTTGTTTGGCCAAATGAAATCATTTTGAGGATTCAACCCCCTGATTACATCATACAAGTTTTTTTTCTGAACAGTCCTGTGATGATACCTCAATAATAATAATAATAATAATAAACCACCAGTAGAAGTCTGTTAAGGTGTTAAACTAAAAATCAGTGTGGTGGAGGGTTTAATGAACACCTCCTCCTGTCTTTGTTCCTCACAGCACACCTGATGTGAAAAATGGCCAAAAAACAAAGCAGCAGCGTGAAGAAGCGGCGCCTCCTCCTGTCCTCTGGTGTCCCCCAGAAGACAAGCTGCACATGTGTCTGATAGACAGCTGGACTGTCCTCAGGTGTCCCGTAATAAAAGGAGAAACATTTCCAGGATAAAAAAAAAAGCTTTCAGTGGAACTCCACAAACTCCTCCAGAGTTTTGGGGATCTGGTTCCGGTAGGTGATCTGGTGCTGCCGAACTGCACGTGCCGCCATGCACTTCAGGCTCATCTTCATCTGGGTCTTCAGCAGGATCTCGGACACGCCCGTGGTACTCTTGTCCAGCGGCGTCTTCTTCTGCTTGTTGGCCATGTCTGTGTGAGCACCGGCCTCGACCAGGTTGATGATGATGGCGTGCAGCGTCAGGAAGTCGCTGATGGGTCGGTTGTACTGCACGATGACGTGGAGCGGGGTGTTGCCCTCGTGGTCCACCGCGTTCACCTGGGCGCCGCAGTCCAGCAGCAGCTTGGTGACCTGGGCGTTAGGGAAGCTGCAGACGTCGTTGGTGTGGAAATCGTCCACCGGCGTGCTGGAGCTTATGGCCAGGTGGAGCAGCGTGGAGCCCTCGCGGGTGCGCGGGTCCAGCTGGATCAGGTCGTAAATGTGCTTGTTGACTTTGGCCCGCTCCTCATCACAGCACGTAGTCTTTGTGGAGATACAGACCAGGTACAGGAAGGTGAACACGTTTGACTCGTAGTTCTCCAAGGCCTGAGGCAGCTCGGACTTGGATGCTGCGTCAGTTCGAGTCATGCTGCGCTGGATCTCCAAGACGCTGCAGCTCAACACCTGCTCCACGGCTGAGGCCAACACGGGCTCCTTCAGGTGGACCATCTGGGAGAAGACCTGGGCGAAGCGCAGCAGGTCTTTGTGCGTGTTGCGGTAGCCTTTCTGCCGGAGGTGCAGCGCGTGCAGCCACAGCTTGATGCACTGATCGAACTCCATGTTGTCGGCGTGCACCGCTCCACGGTAAATGATGGGATGGGACACGTCGATGTTGTCCGAGCCAAGGATGCGCTCCCGGATCATGAGCCCCTCCATGTGCAGAGCATCTCGGTCCGCTCGGATGGCCTCCAGCTCCTGGAGGGTTTGGCACTCCCTCCGCCCGCCGTAGGCCTCGACGGGCGGCAGCAGCTCCTTAGGGGTGACGGGGTCCTGGTGTCGCTCCGTCATGGCCGTGTGCAGGTAGTGATATGCCTTCTGGATGTCGTAGTTCTCCCGGTCGTTGGCGAAAGAAGCTCCCAGCAGCTCCAAGGCTTCGATTCGACTGGCAGAGTCGCAGTCGGCGTGTGCCAGCAGCAGCTCCACCACGTCGGCCTTGCAGCTCTCGGCGGCCACCTTCAGCGGGGTCATGCCGTGGCCGTTCACCACCATGGACGACTGGCAGCCCACCAGCTCTTTGACGATTTCCAGGTGACCCGCCTCCGCAGCGAAGTGCAGGGCCGTGGCGCCGCAGTGGGCCTTGGCGTTGATGTCGGCCCCCTGCCGCAGCAGGAAGCGGACCACGTCCACGTGGCCCTTATAGGCGGCGATCATCAGGCAGGTGTTGTTGAACTTGTTCGTGATGCTGATGTCGGCGCTGTGCTCCACCAGGTAGTGCACGATGTCCAGGCGGCCGTCGAAGCAGGCGGCTCGCAGAGGGGTGGAGTTGGTGATGGTCGTGTGGTTGACGTTGGCGTGGTGACTCACCAGCAGGCGCACCACCTCGAAGTGTCCCGCTCCGGCTGCACACCACAGAGCCGTGGCCCCGTCGATCACATACCTGCAGGACCAACCAGACACAAAACTTATTACGTTTCAAAAGGTGAGGCCGCCTCGTAGGAACGCTCATTACCCCCCCCCCCCCCCCAAGCCTTTCACACCACAGAGTGAGCTCTGATAACGATCACGTAATCTGGCCAGATGTTCAGTGTGTGTTCTGAAGGACTCTCAGCTGCAACCATATCAAACTGATGCTGCTCATAGTTTACACTCTGCTCTAACCTGAGCAGTCAGACACCGACATTCCTCCAGTAATACATGAGCATCTTCCTCCTGATGACAGTGTGTGATATAACAGGGTAGTCTTCTTCACCATCTGAAGCAGTGTACACAACAACAACCCACCACTTCTTCAGACTGCAAAAAGACAATAAACATGGCTGATACAGGCCGAGTTTCTGTTCAACCTGAAACACGACACTTCCTGTTTGATGACATCACCTGAAAACACTCCATAATAATCCTTTAATCGGTGTCTGACTGTAATAAAGACCTGGTTATAAACAGCTGAACCTTTGACCTCAGGGGAGTGTGTGTGTGTGTGTGTGTGTGTGTG